TTACAATACCTTACAATTCCGGTTGAATTGAAATCCTAGCTGATCTTTTAACCGAGATATTGTGAAATCAGTGCCAAATATTAAAATTTACAGTTTAATTTTTTAGAAAATGCATTTAGAGTGCCTTAAAAAAATCAATTTTTGAATTTCTGTAACGTTATTTTCTGTAATTTTCTGCAACCTCAAAATATTGTTCCATAGGGAAAAAGAAGAGAAACGTGTTTTTTAAAAATTATTTTTGTTAATATTTAGGGGTCGCGCTTGTACGTTTTTCATGAAAAAATATATTTTTACCATTATTGATCTGTTAAATAATAAGCAAAAATATTCGGACCTTTTACAGATTTACTCTCATAATATCACCAAATGTGGACTTTGTGTTAAATAAATAGATATATATGATTTGAAGGTTATTACAGACCTGAAAAGATAATAAATTGAAATTTATTTGTAAAAATGTGTCCTAAAAGTCAATTAAACTTATTTTAATTAACTCCCGTTACTATGCCTTTGTTGTGTTATTGAGTACGAAAGGTACTTTTACGTTTTGACTTTTTATGACTGTAAAAATAATTTTATACTGAATGTAATAATCAGTTGGGTATTATTTTGCTTTTTTATGGATAATTTGCTGTGTTTTTGATTCCAAAACTTCTTTGATTCGAATGAGAATGCATTTATTTCGAGTTTGCGCACATCAATATTAAAATTATAATAATATACTCTATGTACTATATACTTCCTCTGTATCTCTATAGGGCTATAAGCCCGTTGGTTCATTAAATAAATAAAAATAAATAAATTATTTATGATCAAAATAGTACGTATGATTTACAGGGCGACCTGGATAGAGTGTACCTGTGGTCCACTATGAATTTTTTATTATTGAACACTTGTAAATGTACAGTAATGTCATTTTGCAGAAGGTCCAGAGTTGTCAAGTTTTGTTATAATATTGGTGGAGTGCCACTGGAGAGGGTAAGCCGACAGCGGGATTTGGGACTGATGTTGGATAGTACTCTTACATTAAATGATCATGTTTCATTTGTTGTAAATAAGTCTCTGTCTGTTCTTGGTCAAATTGTGCGATCTGCCTCAGTCTTTTTTAATCTTCGCGTTCTTAAGGTTTTATTTTTTTCTCTAGTCAGACCTCACTATGAATTCCTTTCTGTTATTTATTCACCTTATTATAATTGTCATATGTTAAGATTGGAAAGAATTCAAAAAAGATTTTTGAGATTCGCTGCAAGACAGCTAAATATACCGTATGATTATTATAGTCACGATTACACAGAACTACGCTCTATTATGAAAATTCCTTCTGTTCAGGATAGATTTTTGCGATTTCACTTCCAATTACTTTTTAATATACTAAATGATCAAATTGACTGCCCTGCAGTACTGTCTGGAATTTCGCTGACGGTTCCTTACATAACATTAAGAAATAAGTCGAGGTTTAAGGTGCCTTTCAGTCGTACGAATCTTGGCAGTAGATCCACATTGGTACGACTTTATAGAGAGGCAAATCATGCGATTAATCTGGATTTTTTTGACAATTGTAAATCAAGGTTTATGAATGATTTGTCTAAATATTTAAATTCTGTCGATTGAACTGCGGCCTCGCACTATTCATTTACACCTAATTGTATTTTATTTTTACTACTTTTTTTGTATTATAAAGGGTATTTTGTAAATGCGTGTATAACTAAATAAGTAAATAAATTAATTAATATAACTTTTTAAGCATGTAATTATTGCATATAATCTATAATACTAAATTTGTGTTGAGAGGCCATTCTTATTTAAAGGCCTCAATGACCCCCAGATGACAAGTTTCGAGTAAATCAGACTGATTTTTAAAAAATATTCCGTTATATTGGATTTGTCATTTTGAATTTAAAAAAAAATTAACATTTGATTAGCAATTAACGTCTCGAGTAACTACTAAATGATGTTTTTAAACTTATTATTTAAAAAATCGTCAATAAAAAATAACTTCGGTACCAGTAAAACGCACAGGTTACACAGGTCTACAAGAATTTTTTTTGATATATCAGAGTGGTTTTCAATGTATTTTTTATGCTGAATACGATCCCGGGTTCCAAAATTGCGTATTATGTCAGGATTTTGAGTAAACCGGGGATAAAGTCTCCAAAAACCGTGTTTTTGAGGATTTTAGTATTTTTTAAGCTTACGTGATTGTATAGTTAATGACAAACATTTTTTTCACTCAATAAATCCTAATTTTTAACATTAACTGTTACTTTATGTAAAAGAGCATTTCTTTTTAGTAATAATTAGTTATTAATTTTATTGTTTTACAAAAAAAAATTATGCTGCACTATATTACTGAAATATAGCTTTTTCTGAAATGTCACTAACTTTTGATTCTTTGTTAATAAAGTCGGCCATATTGTATGCGACATTTTGAATTTCTAAAAACGGAAACCCCTAGATATTCAGTTTCATGGAAATCGAACCATTTTTTTTAAAGTCAGTCATTTTGTTTTGAAAATCTAACTTTAAATTTAGAATTAGCGACCCCAAAAACTTCCGAGTCAATTTTTAAATTTTCTCGTCGCCATGTTAGATCCGCCATTTGAATTTTTTAAATCTGACTTCAAATTTGAAATAAACGTCTCCAAAAACCTCCGAGTAACTATTATCAAACGAATCTGGTCAATTTTTAAATTTTCTCGTCGCCCTATTGGATAGACTATTTTCGTTTTTGAAAATCTGACTTTCTTGAAATTAGCAACTTAATCGGCACCCACTGTGGTGCGTAAGAGCCATATAATCTTATTGCACAACAAATAAAGTTTTAATTATTTAGGAACAAAAATTTCTGCACGGAATCCTGTGGAGGTTTATGTACAGGATCCCTGTTCCAATATCTTGCGCAATATTCTGACAGGATCCTGTACAGGATTTAGCAAGAATTCTATAAGGATCTTTTACTGGAATTTTAAGGCGGAAACCACATTATGAGGTTGAAAAAATCGAATTTTTTTTATTGTATAAATAGTTAGGTTAACTATAGAAGAATAAGCATTCAAAGTTTTAAAGTTAAATTTCGCATTCCTTTACACTTTATAAGCGTAGAACTGAGCGCAAACCGAGTACGTAGGCCACAGGTTGGATCACGCGGCTGTTATGGCGGAGCATTTTGCTTTGCTATACCTTTATAAAGAGTATGCATTATTTAATCTGTCTTGATATTTTTTACTTGGGATAATAGTGGAATTGCTTTATTTTAATTATTGTTTCATGAATCGAGATGAATGAATAAATATATTTACAGAAAGATGTAATTTTCCACTTTAGTGGCAATATGAAATCTGCGTCTATTTATTCATTCATATCGATTCATGAAATAATAATTAAAATAAAGCAATTCTTTATAAAGATAGGTTTTATGTAAATTTTTACCGGGATATTACATAATTTGCTGTTTTGAATTTTGAAAATCTGATATCATATTCGTAATCAACGACCCCAAAAACCCCCGAGTAACGAATTTCAGGCAAATTGAATCGGTTTTTTAGAGTAGAAAAATATTACACATAAAAATGCCTCAAAATGTTCCCAAAACTTTAAACGCGTATTTCTCGAAACAAGATTTTTCAAACTGGTGGGCATTGTAGCGTCTAAACTATTTGACCAATGAACTTCGGGTTTGCGGCTAATTAAAGGTAACTAGATTTTGCTGTGGTTATACCTGTAATATGATACAATCGTAAACAATAAAGATTTTTTACAAGAAGTCAAACATGAAAAAATATGGCAAAAAACGCAGTGTTTTAAAAGAGTTTCCACCATGTTGTCATTTGTTTAACTTTTTAACTATTGTATAGGTATAACCTATTTTCTTTAGAATGTCACCTTTCTAAAAAAATTTGAGTTTTTGTTTTACACTTAAAATTGCGCATTGTAGAATGCACTAGGTGCGCCATATTGGTCGCGATTTTAAATTTTTTGAAAATGAAATATATGCTTTAAAAGTTCAAGGATGTACATTTATTCAAAAAAAAACTACATCACTAAGTCATAACTGTTTCCCACAAAAAATTGTTAAAGTTTATGTTCATTTTGGCCTCCGCAATGGGAACCTCCCCTTTAGCGGGTTACATAAGACGGAAATTTGAAGTTTACCTAAGTTTACTGTAGACTTACTATTTTTTTGTTGGATGTGAAGAAAATGACCAGAGGAAAATGTCTCTTTATAATAATTTGTTAAGAGGGTAATCTCGTGTAAAAAAATTTTGTTACAATTTTTTTTTGCTTTAAAAATTACTTTACTATTTGCAGAATATGATCCTACATTACTAATCTATAATTAGATGTATGAATGTCTATAGTAAACATAAGTTCAGTTCAAACAGAAGCGTATTTTAACAGTAAAAATTTGGATTTTTAATTTCAGTTGAGATTTGTGACCTGTAGGCTACACGGCGCAAAATCAAAGATGCAACTTCAAACGCCTGTAACGCTGTCATTTTGTAATATTTTTTAATAAAAAAAATTTTTCTATTAAGCTTGTATTGTGTACTTTAAGGTATAACCGGAAAAATGTATGTTTTTAACAGATTTTTTAATTTATCATGAAATTGTTATGTGCTAGGTCAACATTACACCCAGATTTTAACTATTGCCTTGAAGATGTTATTTATTCGAAAATAACTATTGCAGTAAAACCAAGATTTAGTATCACTTTCCTATGCTTTCATAATTAATAAAATTATATATTAACAAGAAACCGAAAGAATAGAGAGATCTCGTGCTCATTGTTAACTGCATTTGGTAGCATCTGAAGTGCTAAACTTATGTTTACTATAGACATTCATACATCTAATTATAGATTAATAATATAAGATTATTTTCTACAAATAGTAAACTAATTTTTAAAGCAAAAAAAATTGGAAAAATTTTTTTTTACACGAGTTACCCCTCTTAAACTATGTTAAAAAACGTTCACAAACTAATTTGATTTATTTTTTTAGCAATACTGGCGACTCTAATCGGTTCTGGATGGTCCTATCATAAAAAACAAATATTAATGGAAACAGGTCAATTATCCATTTTCTTGCATAAAATATTTCTATATTCCAGTCGATTGAATGTGATTTCGGCATCAAATGCAAAAGCAAAAAATTTGTTTTGGTGGCGGCAATTCGTTAATGTCGTAGATGATACTCTGGCTACTGTTAAGAAGACAGTACTTCTGTTAATAAAGCTGAATGGAGATGGGTTACTTCATCAAATGATGAGTGTGGGAATTAAATCTGATGATCTTATAAGAATTGTTGCCGATTTAATAATAGCAGCTGGAGACACGGTAATTATTATATTATTAACAGTATGTGCCACTGTTTTCCAGGCGGAGAACCTTTTTAAACGTACAACTAAACAGCCTTTATGCATTTTAATCTCTGGCGGCTCTAACAAGGGGAGGGCACGGAATGTTTTTCTGAAAATATTTTTTTTATTTTATCTTGTAGGGTCATATGAAGAACTTTTTTCACAAAAGGCTAACGCGCACTAGGCTAAAACAACAGAGAAAATCAAATTTAAAGATTCGCGGATTTTTAGTTTTTCAGACACTTTGTGCAACGGTTACTTCTCTAGGCATTCAGATTTAATTTAGAGATTCCTACTTTTGCACAGGTACTTTTTTATAGTTTTTTTATACATATTTAAGTAATTTTAGAGAATTTAGCAATAGTATTTGTATATTTTGCAGTTTTATTTAAACAAGTTTTAATTTAAAAACGATTCATTTTCACATTATATTATAAATTGAGACTTACAAAGTCATTTCATTACTTCAAATGGAAATTATATTAATTTAGTTTTGTAGGAGCTAAATGTTTAATATTTGCCTTCGTTAGTTTATATTTAGTTTTTAATCGGAAATTTGACAAAAAATTGAAAGTAACAGAAAAATCAGTTATTGATTCGTGTGTTAAGGGTGAAAAAAATGTTCGATGCGCTAAATATTTAAAGTGGTCTACGACATCTACCATCCTGGTACTTGTCAATCACAGTACGGGAATCTTGAGTGATTCAATTGTAATTCAAAATTTTATATGTTTTTCTTTTATAATTATATTTTATCAAGAAATTTGTATTACTTCGTTAGTAATAAATTTTTGTGCAATAAAAAAGTTAACAAATATTAATAACACAGGTCTGCAAGGCATTTTTTTGAAATATCAGAGTGGTTTCCAATGTATTTTTAGGGTAAAGACCCTAAAAAATGTCTGTTTGAGGGTTTTCAGTATTTTTTTCCTCAACGTGCTAGAAACTTCTATATAGGATTAAATTAAAGTTTAAAGCGTATATTTTAAGACCCATATGCGCATAATAAAAAAATTTTGAAATTTAAAAAAAAGTGTAGGTAAGAAAAGACACGTTGAAAGAAATTTAAAGGTTTCAATTGAATGTTCACTTTATTTTCACTTAAATTACATATCTTGAAAATTGAACAGTTTATGACATTTAATTAGTTCGCGACGAAGCATTTATTGAGAAGTTCTCATAATATCTGAACATTTATTTCCAAAAACTGCACACAATTACCTTGGTGGAAAGAAATCAAGAAATTTCGGAAGGTAGAAAATGATTTGCTGATAGTTATCTTCAAACTTGGACCCTCGGTGTAATTAACTAATTCTCAAGGATCTATAGGTTTATGATGAGTCCCTTTTTTATGATAGTACAAATATTAAAAATCTGATTTTTCTGAGTATTGCTAGGATTAAGTTTACAATTTGAAAGTTTTTATTTATATAATCCGCCTACAACAATATAAATTTTTTCATATTAGTTCTAAAATTTCTTAAAGATTAAACGTTATTATTCTTTTTCCTTTTTTTATTTTTGAACATCTGCTTACTTACTTTTACGACGTAACAATATTCATATTTTGTTACAACTCTTGCTGGACAAATATGTTTCACTATTTCAATGTCATCAATTATTTTTTGTATTGGTGTTACTATTGGTTTTAAAGTATCATTTAGAGATTGTTCAATTTGTTCCTTTTCTAATTTTAATAGTCTATGTTTCCGTCTAATTACTTCACTTGCTTTAGCAAATTTCTCAGAGAAAATTTTGTTGTTGTTGTAAATTTTCAACTTTTTTGGAAGTCATGTTTTTGTTGTTACTTCAATGTATAAAACTATATTGTTATTTTGTTAGATTACTATTCTAATTTATAAAACAATCAAAACATTTTCTGTATCTACGCTGATTAATTCCACGATCTTGATCAATCACTAAAAAATCATGCTTATTTTCTCAGCAAGAACAGCAAATTTCTTTAAATTTTGTAAACGACATATTAGTATTCATATGGTCATCATATATGCTTTAAATTCATTTCATCTTGTCTAAATAATACCAATAAATTAACTTTGTCACGTATTAAATGTTTTGGAATCCGCGCATAAGTCTGGCATAAAAAAAACACATCATCAAAGATAAATTATTATCATACTTTTGAGTAATAATGTAAAAATTAAAAACAGATAGATTAATAGATTGTGCTTTAAACTCCATCTTGTTACATACTGAGTTAAAAAAGTATAAATGCAATACTTCTATATTTTTAACGACAGTTCATGGAAAGCTGACAATAACGTAGGTTTTACTTTCTAATATTTAACGATTCTCAATTTTGAAAATTTGTTCTTTTTAATTGCCAGGAATCTTCAAATGAGATTTGCATTGTTTGTGTTTTTATATGCTTGTTTGTGTTTGTTGTATGCTTGTTTGTGCGTGAAGATAATCTGACACGTTTGAACATTCGTAGTCAACTGCTAATAATTCGTTTAAATACCTGAGGCATTCTTTCTCCAGTGGTTCACCGGATTAGCTTAAAATTTGTTACAAGGTGGTTTTTAAGGTCCCAGAAACTGACCGAAATATCTATCATAACAGTTTCGTCATTTTTAAATTTGCAAATCCGACATCAGATTCTTAATTATCGTCCGCGAAAACTCCTTAGTGACAAATTTTAAGAAAATCCGATAGATTTATAATTTTAAGTCCAGGATATTAAATCCGACATTTTATATTTTGAATTATTGACATTAAATTCGTAATTAGCTACCCATAAAACTCCCGCGTAACAATTTTTAAGCAAATACAATTAATTTTTTAGTTTTATATCGAATGCATTTCAAAATTCTATAAATTTTTAATTTTTTCCACCACTATATTCGAACAGCCGTTTTGAATTTTTAAAATTCATATCAAATTCGCAATCAGCGAAACCCTTCGAGTAACAAATTTTAACCTAATCCGATTGATTTTTAATTTTACGTTAGCCATATTGTATATACTATTTTGAATTTTGTGAATTTTTTTGGTAATTTCGTAAATGATTTACCTTTTTTAACGATGGAGGCCTCGTAGAATGTTGAAAATGATTTTTTTGTTTATTTTTTAGCAAGAAATAACATTTGAGTCAGTGTTTTTGGTTATTTATTCCTCTATATCTTTTTTTAAATTTAATATCTTTTAAAAAGGGCCAGTTGGCATTAAAAAGTTAACATTTTTACGTTGAAATTGAGCTATTATAAAATGTATTTGGATTAAATTTGTAGTGGAAAGAAGGGATGGCCCACTTGAGAAAGAATGCCTCACCTTGGTTTTATACTTTTTAAAATTAGTATTGATAAAGTTTTCTTCGTACAAGGATTATAAACATGCTAATGCATAAAAACAGACCAATAATAAACAAACCTCTAGAAGGGTAAGACAGGGAAAAGGTTTTCTAAATGAATTGATAAATAATCAACCAGTTGAATTTCATATTCCTGGATACAAGTTTTGCGGTCCATGGACAAAAGTAGCAAAAAGAGTTGCACGAAGTGATCCAGGAATTAACCCTCTTGGCGCAGCTTGTAAAGATCATGATATTGCTTACTTGCAAAGTAGGGAAAATGTAGAAGGCTTAAAATTTCTGAAGTGAGCCACTAATTTTTCTTGTCAATTATAATTCCCTATTTTATCACGATTTTTTCAAAAAAGAAAAGTCAGTATATCGGATTAGCGCAAAAGTTATTAATATATTTGTGATCGCGCTCCGACAACTAAGTGGTACGCCGCTCAGTGGGAGGAAAATGGAATTTACTGTTCAAGATAGTCCAGATCCTTTATTTCTAAACCGATTTAATTAAATTTTTTTAAAATGAAAGATTATAAAATTTAGAAGAGAGTTGACGAGTCCGATTTAACATTTTTTTATATTAATTTGTTTATTGCAAAGTTAAACAAAAGTAGAAATTTTAAAGAAAAAGCGATCTCCTGAAACAATAAGTAAGTGCCACAGGGTAAAAACTGTTTAAAAACAATGCAGTGGTACTCCCTACACGGTAAAAAATTACACAAATCAAAATTTACATGTTATAAACAAATTATTGTTAACAAATAATAAAGGTTACAACAAATTGTTTATTTCGTTAAAGGCTGTGTTAAACTTTGATGAAATTGTTTACTCGGGGGTTTTTGGGGTCGCTGATTACGAATCCGATGTCAGTTCTTAAAAATTCAAAATGGCGGATCTAATATGGCGGACATTTTTGTTTAATTTACTCAAATTCACCTGAAAAATAAAAAATAAAACCAAATAAAAATATTTAAAAGCACACGTTTAGGATTTAAAAAAAAATTATCTCCCCTCCCCTTATAGCCAATTCAACTTTCTTTTTTTTTAAAGTTGCAAAAAAATATACTTAATCGAATTCTTGTACAGAACTTTTTCTTCTATAATGTCATGGGAATTAATGGTAATTGAAAAACTGGTTTAAAAAAGGTTTCATAATTTTTTAACAGTACAGTCTTAAAAATCTCGAGTTGGAAACATATACTTATTATCTACCTTTCTCCACTCTTCATGAATCCGTTATCAGAAGTCTAGTATGATTTTAGGCACAAAATGACTACTTCTTTCATAGAGATCCTGGACTCATTGGTAAAATTCGAGGTTTATTTATATTACGCTACCCACCTGCACTTTTTACTGCCAAAAGTGCACCTTACAAAGCAGATTTGATAGTAGATTGTGCATTTGTACCTAATTAATAAATTAATTTTGAAAAATAAAGGAATTTTTTTAGAACTAAACCTAATAATAATACTTTTACATGTACGATTTATTGCGATGAAGAAATTAATTTTGAACTAAATCACGTCATGTATCTAACAGTTGCAGTCAAGACAATAGATCATAACAGGTTAAGAATTGTTGATCAAGACGGACAGTTGGTTAATTTTGGTGAAGAGAAAATAACAATTAGAATTCACATAAAGTCTTTAAAATAATGGGTATTTTTTGGTAATAGAAAAAAGTTGGTTTTGGTTATAAAAATAACACATTATGGCAAAAGGAAATCAGTCAACGAAGAGTTCTGAAAAGGATAACACCTCAAAACCTACAGTTACTAAAGAGTCTGGGCCTCAAAATCGTGAAAAAATGACAAAAAGAATTTTTACTTGTATCTGTGTATTTGTATTTAAGCGAATAGTTTTTTGTTATGGAAGGGGAAATTTTAATAATGATGATAGTTATTTTGACGTATTATTTTACATCATCAAATTCATTTATAGTAATTTCTGCTTCATTGCCTATTTTGGGAAATCTATTTCCAACTTCCATTTATTTTATTTTTATCATCCTCCACTAGCCTATTTTCCTTTTCCTCAGCATACTCACTAATATACATGCCAACAATGTCAAAATTAAAATCTCCATCGAGTAGAGTCGTAACGTTCGGTCTTCTTTGTAATAAAAATGAATTTTCTGAAGCATCCTTTAGTTCCACAACAATACTGGAATGCTAAAAAAATAACGATCAGCAACAGCTGGACTGTAGTTAAATTATACCGCCGACAACCAGCTGACAACATTACAAAGTCTGTCATTTGTTGCAAATCATCACAAGTTTACAGCCTCTAAAATTTTCTTCATTCTGAAACAAAATAAAAATTTTATATATTATTTATTTATTTTAAAAATAAATTCAATTTATTAACTATAAACAAAGTTTAAAATTTCAATAAATAAGAATTAGTTACTTACCAGAGTTTCACATAACTCCAAGTCCACTCTCCTAATGCATTTGCCATCCCATGGACCTTGCCTGAACATTATTACAATTTAAGAAACATGGATCATAACGACTGGTACTTCTGTTGAAAATATCGATTGAGCTTATAGCGAGCCCCGAATCACTAAAAAAATTGATGGAACACTGCTGTCTTTGTAGAGAGAGTTGTTGTCTTTTACGCGAGAGGGCAGCATACTCAGCCATAAAGAGAGATGCTACTCTCAAAAAAGCAAACTGCTACTCCTTTTAGCAAGCTACTGCTGTACTTTGACTGATTCTGACAAGTGTCCTTAACAAAAGGACAACAGCTACTTTTTTCAGTACACATCTTTTTAAAAGTCTAACATGCAGCATTCGATTAGCCACCTTTTTGGAGCCTGGATGGTCACCATCATGGTTAAATATCCTTCCATTTTATTGAAAAAAAATTTCATGAAGTAAACAGAAAAAAATTAAAACAAAGAATTGAAAATAAAATTAAATCCTTAAAATATAAACTTTTTAAAAATTGAAAACGCTTTAGATGTTAAAATAAGAAATTGAAATAAAATTTTTAGAAAATGGGAGAAAATTTAAATGTCAATGTAAATTTAAAAATTTTTTTTAAGAAAATCTAAAGTTTTTAAAAATCTTATTAAAAGAAATGGAAATAAGAAATTTTTTGATGGATCTTTATATTTTTCGACCTTAGGAATCCAAAAATCACATTTTTAAAAAGTGTCGTTCCGTTTATGTGTGTGTATACACTACATTTTCTAAACTATCTCGAATACTATAAAATCTAAAGGTATAAATTTTTTTTAAATTGTAGGTCTCACTAGCGGACAAATATCAAGGTTGGCTGGAGAAAATTTTAACCCTAAAGTTGCATCCCTTGGAAAATTCCAACTTTACGGTTAAAATGTTTTCCAGACACCCGTGATAAATAATGAGATTACTTTGAGCCATATTAATCAAACTTAACTATTATTTTTTTGAATTTAAAATTTTTTTTAAATTGTTTTTTGCCCATAACTTTAAAAAAATGTTAGGACACCTCTAAATATTTTTCTTTAATTTTGTAGAGTTTTTTTAAGACGCATCTTTTGAGCTATTAGCGAACATTCTACTGATATTGTATCATATTTAAAAACGACTCAATTGACCTGTTTTATTGAATTTTTTATTGTAAAATATTCCGAAATTATTATTGATGTTAAAAATCTATCTCTGCAAATGCCCAAAAAATACAACTTAACACAGTGTTAAAAAAATTATCATAATACTAAATAAAAAACCATAAAGTGATCACAAAAAATCTCTATGAAGAAGCAAAGTGTTCATTTCATCAACACAAAAAGGTCATACTTTAAGTTAGCAGCGGTTTTTAATTATTCTTTAATATCAAGTGTTGTATATTAAACAGGACTTTCTTAAATTTTCCTTAACTTTTAGGCTATGAGAGACATTTTTATGCTAAATAACTATACATTTCGAATTGAAATTTTTTAATACTTTTAGAGATATTTGCTTTAAAAAATGTTTGTAAAATTTTGTTCTTTTTATAAAGAGCCTCGGCAAGCCCCATGCAAAAATGCCCCATTTTCGTACCTCGAATTTTGAAACTTTTTTTATGCCAAATGGTTACATAATTATGATGACCCAATAATCCCTGCAAAATTTCAAGATGAACATGTGCCCCCTTTCCGAAATACAGGGGGTTAAAGGGGGCCATGTCCAAAAATAGAATATGCAGTATAATCGAATAATAATGTTAAACAAAATCAGACAAAATGGTTTCCTTAAGATTTTCGTCTGCTGAGTACGATTCTAAAGTCCGATTTCAAAAATTCAAAATGGCGGATCCAATATGACGGACAACAATTTTAAAAATCGATCCAATTTACTTGAAAATCGTTACTCGGGGGTTTTTGGGGTCGCTGATTACAAATATGATGTCCGTTTTTAAAAATTCAAAATGGCGGATCCAATATGGCGGACGACATTTTTGAAAATCGATCCAATTGACTTAAACTTGTTACTCGGGGGTTTTTGGGGTCGCTGATAACGGATTTGATGTGCGTTTTTAAAAATTCAAAATAGCAGATCCAATATGGCGGAACACTGTTTTAAAAATTGACCCAAATTGCCTGAAAATCGTTACTCAGAGGTTTTTGGGGTCGCTGATAACGGATTTGATGTGCGTTTTTAAAAATTCAAAATGGTGGATCCAATATGGCGGAACACTATTTCAAAAATTGACCCAAATTGCATGAAAATCGTTACTGGGGGGTTTTTTGGGTCGCCGATTACGAATATGATGTCCGTTTTCAAAAATTCTTAAACTTTATCTTACCTTTGTTGGTTGGATTCTTATTCCTTATCTTTGTTCATCGGATTATCGATTACATCTTGCCTTCATTGGTTGTATAACTTCATCTTACATTTGTTGGTTGGATTCTTATTCCTTATCTTTGTTGATCTGGTTGTCGATTACATCTTGCTTTCATTGGTTGGGATACTACCTTTGTTTGGCAATTTGTGTCAATTTTTAAAAAAGTGTTCCGCCATATTGGATCCGCTATTTTGAATTTTTAAAAACGCACATCATATCCGTAATCAGCGACCCCAAAAACCCCTGAGTAACGATTTTCAAGTAAATTGGATCGATTTTTAAAATTGTTGTCCACCGTATTGGATCCGCCATTTTGAATTTTTGAAAACGGACTTTAGATTCGTAATCAGCAGACGAAAATCTTAGGGAACCATTTTGTCTGATTTTTTTAACATTATTATTTGATTATATTGCATATTCTATTTTTGGACCTGGTCCCCTTTGACCCCCTGTATTTCGGAAAGGGGGCACATGCTCATATTGAAATTTTGCAGGGATTATTGGGTCATCATATGTAACCATTAGGCATAAAAAAGTTTCAAAATTTGAGGTACCAAAAAAGGGGAATTTTTTGCCGAGGCTCTTTTTTTCCTTTGATCCTACGTACAAAAGTTCTGCATGTTTATTAGTCTAAAAATGTTAATATTTAAGAAAAATATTATTGTAATAAAAAGTTATTAAATTTTAATTAATTTATTTAAAAAATAAATTATGAAAACTTACTGAAATTTTCAGCTTGGCGTTATTCTTTTCGAGACATGGGTTTAGAGAATGATTAAAAAATTAAAAAATTATATATATAAATAAATAAACTTCAATTATATTAATTTTATATACAAAATATATTTTTATACTTGACAATTATTAATTTTTAAAATACACTGTCAATGAAAGTTGCATCTGGCATACTGTGACCTGATCATAATTATCATCCGCCGATCATTTTTATTTTTGTTGTACAATAAATCTGAAAACATGTAGATTTAAAACTCTAATAATCCCTCACAGCACGGGATATTTAAGGATATCCCTGGGACATCCTATGGATATCCATTTTCTTCTGGCGGTTTGGATATTCCTAGGATATCTGAAGTATATCCCAGGCATATCTAAACTGCCGCAAGCAAATGGATGTCCTGAGGATGTTTCAAGGATTTCCTTAAATATCCGGTGCTGTGTGGGATCAAAGAATATTTTTTAAAAATATTATATTATAAATTATACAATTCAAAAACACTTGTATAACATCTTTAACTTCAAACGTTATTTTATTACAGTCAACAGCTACTACGCAATGGGCTTTGTATTTACTTAGCACTCACATGGAAACACAAGAAAAACTTTATGAAAGGCTTAAAGATAAAGACGGGAAAGAAATAATTTCTGACACTTTTTTGAAAGGAGTTTTAAAGGAAACTTTGCGACTTTACCCAACAGCTCCATTTCTCACCCGATATTTACCTAAAGATGCCATTATTGGAGGTTATTATGTTTCTAAACAGGTAATCTATAATGAAATGTTATTTCAATAGTAAAAAATTTTAATTATAAAATTATTATAAATTTTAAAAATTGTAAATTAATAAACATTAAAAATAATATTAAGAAATGAATTTAAATTTAGAGAAATAGAATTTCTAAAACAATTGAAAGAGAGGGAAAATATTCATAGGTATCACAATGAGAAAGTAAACAGGAAAAATAATAGAAATAAAAGGAACATATAAATTTAAATAAAAAAATTAGTAATTAAACTTAAAGATTTTATAAAACAATAAAGAATTTATATAAATTATTATTAAATTAATAAAATGTAAGATTTTGAAATATTATATTATATTATTATTATATTATACATTTTTGAAATATTTACAAAATAAAATAATAAAAATTATTTTATTTAATTGCTAAGATTCATAATAATATATTGAAATTGTATTTTATATTAAAGTAAAAATTATATAAAAATTAATAGTGAAAGTTAAAAAATCCTAATTAGAAAGAGAAGAATCGCTCTGTCCTTAGTAACATTAGTCCCCCTCCGATTTCGTTCATGTTCATATATCCCCTACTGAAAATCCCTGTATAAGATCTTGTACAACTTCCTGTACAGGATCAGCAACTGAACTCGTACAAGTTCTGACCAGTTCCTGTATAGGAAAATGCATACGAATTTGAAACAAGTTCATGTGTGAGATCTTGTACAAGATCTGGTGCAAGATCTTGTAGAAGAAAGATACTTGTACAAAAAAATGTACATGATCTTGTACAATTTCATGTATAAGTACTTGTACATGAACACGTTCATGTTCTTGCACATGTATAGTTGTAAATTTTTTTTTTTTTAATAAAATTTGAGATTTTGATAATTTTTAACCACTAAGATTCGTAACTCATGCATGCTAAAAACTATTGCGCAGCTGTAAAGGTTAATGTAAACTATTGCGCAGCCTTTGAAGTTTTTAATTTTTAGTAAAGAAAAACACGAATTAACATGTGCAAGAACATGTACATTTTCTTGTACAAGTATCTTTCTTGTACAAGATCTTGCACCAGATCTTGTACAACATCTCACACATGAACTTGTTCCAAATTCGTATGCATTTTCCTGTACAGGAACTGGTCAGAACTTCTACAAGTTCAGTTGCTGATCCTGTACAGGAAATTGTACAAGATCTTGTACAGGGATTTTCAGTAGGGTGTAGTAGTTCTCGAAAAACTAATTAACACGTTGCAGGTAATAATTTTCCAACATGTGCTCTGTTATTTAATGTGAAATAAAAAATAACTAAATTTAGCTGAAAATATTTACTCAGGGGTTTTCCGGGTCCCTGATTACGAATTTGATCTCAGAATTTAAAAAATCAAAGTAGCAGATCCACTAAGTCGATCAAAAATTTTTAAAGTCGATGAATACAGATAAAAATGCTTACCAGAGGGTTTTCGGGATCGCTGATTACGAATTTGATGGTAAAATTTCAAAATTTAAAATGGCGAATCCAATATGGAGATCAAAAATTTTTAAAATCGATAAAATTCGCTAAATGCATCTAGAACTCTGCTCACAGTATGAGCAGCTTTCTTGAACGTTAAAATGTGTAGAGGTTCATCTGCCAGCAAGAAACCCAAGTTGAGTTGGGTTACCCAACGCAAAAGTTGGTGTGGTTCTCATTGAAAAAGCATGTTAAATTTTATGACAATCGGTTTAGTAGTTTTCAATTAAGAGTGGTCACCGACTTCAAAAATGAAGTTTTGAGAAAAACGTGTTTAAAATTTTAACTAATTTTTTCATGAAGATGGAATTTTTTTTTGAAATCAGATAGAATCATTAATTCATGGACCATATAATAATTCTTCTGAAGATGATGCTGCTTTCAAAATCCCAATTCAAATATAAAGGTATAAGGACCGACACGGCCGTTAGCCTGTTCTGGACCGACCTGACGCACCTCTTTTTAGCCAGTATATCTCATTTCATTTTCATCGAATCATCAGAAAAATTTGTAGACATATTTCTGAAAACATGAAAATGAAAATGCAAAAAACTCGATTTTTTGAAAGTTAAAACGAGAGTCCTCTGCTCACTATTTCTATAATTTTATACACTTTTCTAGCATGCTTTTCATGCTCTATCGAATGGTCAGGATTAAAATAAGGACAAGTTTTAATAAACCTTTCAAAAACATACCTATATGTCAAAATTTTTTTCAGCTGGTAGTTTCAGAATTGCAATAACCTTATTTATTTGTAAAATATTTCATTTTTTATTAACATTAATTAATTAGTTAATTAAAATCTCGAAAATAGCAAAAGAGGACTTCTTAATATTTTTTGTAGTGAAAATACACATTTTTAACTTTAAAAAAATCAAAAAAAGACCGTTTATAAAAAAAAGTCAAAAAAAATTTTAATTTTTAAAAAAGGATAAAATTTTGAATTTCTTGAAAATTTTTTTTGCACCATTCGAAAGAGCAGGAAAAAACCTTTCAAAAACATATAGGACAATTTTTTTTCATCTTTCTGTTAAATAGTTATGGGTGATTCTCCGCGTAGCGCACAACTTGCTTTTTTTCATGTTGTGAAAGAAAAATCACAAATAATATTCACATAATATTTCGATTCCAATGTGAAAAGGTAATTTCTGTGATTACAAACAAAAACCAGTAGTTATTTTTGTATTTAACATTATAATTTTTCGTAAAAAGTGGTTTTTAAGGCTGAAAACTTCAAAATTTGACCTGTCCCCACAGGATGTTTAAACAAAAAAGTTAATATTTTTAGCAATGTGCACTAATAAATACAATTTCTATTGCTATTTTAGTATTGTATATTGTAGTGGAATTGAATAAAAAAAACGTTTGATCAAAAAAAAATTATTTTCTTTTTTTTTGCTATTTATATTTGACTGCACTTTTGTGTGTTATTCTGCGTTTTATTATTAAACATTGAATTATTTAAATAAAAGTCAAATGTTAATATAGTTCTACTTCAGTAACAGCAAAAGTTATATTCCTTAAGTTGATCCATGAAGAAAATAATCAATTTTCTAATTGATTTATCCTTTTTTTACACATTTTAAGATTCAAATTTGTACAGGGCATCACAAAATCGTCTCCACCGGCATCCACCGACCCTTCAATATTATTTTAAAAAATATAATATAATTAAATAATAAAGGTTAAATAAAGTGTAGTTATATTATTTTAGTCTATATATATGTGAAACATATGAAACCGATTAAAAATAAATGATAATTTTCTCAAAAGAAAAAAAAATTATTAACATCAGTTCCACCGGTTCGACCGACCCCAGCGTCTCCACCCGCCACAAAATTTTGACCCTCACTAGTCCAACTTTAATACACAATAAAACAAACGAAATTAAAAATATTTATTATAAACTATCATACCTCCGGTAAGTTTACTATAACTTACCAAATAAATTTCTATAAATTACCGTATAAATTTCCATAAATTACCGCATAAATTTCCATAAATTACCAAAATAAAATTTTTAATTGTCGTTCGCGCTATACACTACCGTCCGAAATTGTGCGAACTCTGCTTTTTCAACAACTATAAAACTGTTCAAATCTTCAAAAATATTAAAACTGAAATTTTTTCCTCTTTATTTTATTAAAGCTAATAAAATTCTGAAAGAAATGACACCTTGACAAAGAGAATATGTTAATTTTTCAATTAGATATCTAAGAAAAACCCAATTTTCAATGTTTTTACTATTTTTTTTATTTCTCTTGAAAAAATTAATATTTTTAAACGTTCTTAGGCTCATTGAAATCGTATTTTGTTATGCAATTCAAATTATATAAAACAATTCATGTACACATTCTTCCCTAGCGTATGCAAACCGTGAAAGTTGGCTCATAAAATGTCAAAAAATTGTGATTAATGTTTATATGACAAAAATTGATCAGTAAAATGTATAAATTTCAAACTTACTTACATAAATCAGAGAAGTTTAGAATGATATATTTACTTGATTTTTAAACATTATATTTTATTGTAGAATTAAATTTCAATTTTTTGACATTTTATGAGCCAACTTTCACGGTTTGCATACGCTAGGGAAGAATGTGTACATAAATTGTTTTATATAATTTGAATTGCATAACAAAATACGATTTCAATGAGCCTAAGAACGTTTAAAAATATTGATTTTTTCAAGAGAAATAAAAAAAATAGTAAAAACATTGAAAATTGGGTTTTTCTTAGATATCTAATTGAAAAATTAACATATTCTTTTTGTCAAGGTGTCATTTCTTTCAGAATTTTATTAACTTTAATAAAATAAAGAGGAAAAAATTTTAGTTTTAATATTTTTGAAGATTTGAACAGTTTTATAGTTGTTGAAAAAGCAGAGTTCGCACAATTTCGGACGGTAGTGTAAGTCTTCAAATTTTTTGATATTCAACAAATGTTGATTTGAAGATTATGAAGCGTACTCACCTGATACTGGCAATCCTTTTTCTCTCTGTTGAGTAAACCATAGAAATAAACCTTTGTCAATTTTATCATACTCTGCGGGTTTCATCGTTTTACGACTTGTCATCGCGTCACCGGATATTATTCCGAATTGTTCCCCAACACCACAATCGGCCGCAACCTTCCGAATAATTTTCCCTTTATCTAATCTTCTTATCGCTTGCAATTTCTTCTCGACACTCACTATCACCTTCTTCCTTTTTTGCGACTGTCTTGGTCAAATAGTGTGTGAGTTAGGAGGATTAATAGCTTTCTTCACAATTTCTTATTTTTCCTTGACAACGCTATGTAAATTGATCCGAATCACGTTCGCTATATTTTTCCTGTAATTTTCACGTAAAAATACATAAGTGTACTAAATTTGAGCTCTCTATGTGAAAAGATGTGGCCACCAGGGGGGGGGTACATTGTCATTTTTAGGGATTTTTCGTAAAAATTCATGGTTTTTCCTTGACAACGCTATGATAATAAATTCCTACGAGATTTGCTATATTTTTCCTGTAATCTACACGCCAAAATACTTATGTGTATCAAATTTCAGCCCTCCAGATAAATTCGTGTGGCCGCTAGGGGCCTAAATTTATAAAAATTTAATTTCTTTATGAAAAATCGCTGTTTTTTATAAACAAATTCAAAATTTTTTTTTCGTTAACATATTTTGAAAGTCGATGAAAAACTGAAACTTTTTTGTATCTTAATCATAATTCCTAAATTCAATACTTTTATTACATGTCATTGAAATTAGGTGTATTTCAAAAAAACTTGAAAAATCAGATTTTTAAAAATTCATAACTCGAAAATTTGAGTACTTATAAAAAAATAAAAAAATACGTAAACCTTTTTTTTTCTGTAAAGAATAAGAAAAAAATATATTTAGACGAATTTAAAAGGTCATAGGTAAATCTCACGTGGAATCGCCCAATACAAGGTAGATTGTGTGACTATACTATAATGCAATGTAAGATTAGTAATCCTTAACTTCAAAACATTTTGTGTGTCAATTTTTTCAGCAGATCATATCAATTTAAAAACATTCTATTCACCATGTAAGATTCCCTATTTTAAATTACAAAAATCTGAATTTTTATTTTCAATCAACGATCAGAAAAACCCCCATGTACTAAATTTACATTTCTCATCAGCCATATTGGATCCGCCATTTTGAATTTTTTTAAACTGACGCTAGATTTGTAATCAGCGACCCAATATAAAACCTCCAAGTACAAAATTTCGAGCGAATCGGAATAATTTGTAAAATATCCATATGACATACACTACCGGCAAATACATTACATTATACAGGGTGTTCCAGTCATGGGTGTACATAATAAAGGTAAATATTCTATGGAAAAAATTAAAACAAAATGTCTTCTACAGTTTTTCAAAATTTTTTATAGTTTTTGCGTAAATTGCAATTGAAAATTTAAAAATTACGCGTGGTGATTGGCCGCTGGAGCTCAGAGGGCCGGTGGGCGGGGCATAGCGCGCCAGAACTTTCCTGATTTTCTAAGCGTGGGCATGTAGATTTTACCCGATTACTTGAAATAATCCTCTGAAAAATACATACGTTATAAATTTTTCAACATAACATTTCAACTACTCTTTTTTTTCCTTTAAAAAATACATAATGTATGAATTTTTCAAAGGATTATTTCAACTAATCGCGTAAACTCTACATGCCTACGCCTGGAAAATCAGGAAAGTTCCGGCGCCCTATGCCCCGCCAGCAGCCCATTGAGCTCGCGCTGCCAATCACGAAGCGTAATTTTTAACTTTTCAATTGCAATTTACGCAAAAACTATAAAAATTTTTAAAAAACTGTAGAAGGCTTTTTGTCTTATTTTTTCCCGTAGAATATGTACCTTTAATATTAATATATTTTATAAACGAATAAAGGTATTATAATTCTGACGTTACTAAATAAAAGTTGACGTAATGTCGCATTTAACGAGCCCTATATGGACTGTTTTGGATTAGAGGATTTTTTATAAACAATTGCCATGTTAGCCAATTGTTTATTATAACAATCCACTAACCCAAAGTACTTCATATAGGGTTCGTTGGATGCGGATTTTTATAAACTTTCATTTAGTAACGTCAGAATTACGATACCTTTATTCGTTTGTAAAATATATTTTGAAATACCGTGTGGCGTTATGTGCGGTGTAAAATTTAAAGACGATAATGGAATTTAATGATGCGAAGATTCCAGGCAACTATTTTTTATCAACAACGTGAAGGGTAGTATAAAAAGAAATTGTTTATTGTTCTTTGCAGTCATTTTTCGTCGAAACTTTTATAAGATTGTTTAATACATTAACATTAAAAAAGTGGTTAATAATAGTTATAAGTGTCACTTGTTTTATTTAGAAAAATGAATTCTAATTGCCAAAAAATGATTAAAATTATGAAAAGTGCTCTGGAGACTGTAAATACAATTCAAAATAATAACAAATTTTTAAATGAAATAGAAAAACGGGTTCAAAAAATATTTTTGTTTTAAATAAACTTTTAAGAGTAAAGAAGGACTTAACAGTAGGTGATAAAAAAAAGATAATAGCCACTCTAGGAATTTTAAAAACACTAATTTAAAAATTAAAGCAAATGAAAGAAGAAGGTAAAGGTATTGGAATAAATAAAAATAAAAAATCTAACAGAATTAAATGGAAAGACTTAGAATCAACGTTTGAAAAAAGAGTGAGAACAGGAGTTATTATTAATTTAAAACATAAAGATTTATTTAAATTTTTAGAGGGTTCACGATCTATAATTAAATAACGTTTAAAAAATTCGTCGAAGAAAAACAATGGCTTGAAAGTAAATTTTATCTTTCCAGCTAATTTTACAACTGTAAGCGATGGTGAAATTATTACAGAAAACAAATTTTTTAACACAAAAAATGAAAATTTTCTTCATTCTTCAGACATTGAATTGTTCTTTGGTAATACAATTGAATATATTTCACAAAAAGTTAAAGATTTTAATGCAAAAGAATCAGGGTGGTCTTTGAAAGAAATCATAAATCCAATTTAGTAAATATTAACCGATATGCACCTTTACAAGGTGGATTCAGTACTTTTACAGAATTACCGAAATTTATAAGGAATATGAAAGCTGTTGTTAATATTAAAAATACAGATAATTTTTGCTTTCTTTGGTCAAAAATATCAGCTTTTTTATATTCTGTTGACAAGTACTCTAACCTTACCAGTTTTTATCCTGATTTGAAAGTGTATTAAAATACAAAGTCAGTAATTTTCTTATTGCTTTGACAGATATACCAAGATTTGAAAAAATTAATACTTTAAGAAGAAAGATGTATAGATTGGATAGAGTTAAAAGCAACAAACAAGAAATAGTTTAAAGATAATGTTCCTTTAATGAAAAGAACTCATTGTGTTTATGAGATTTCATGTAATATGTGTGGAAAGTCATATATTGGTCAGACTAAGCGTCATCTATGTGATAGAGTTCATGAGCACGAGAGATTCGTCTAAAATGGAAATACAAACACTCGCCTTTGCTCACACTCTACCCAATATAAACATTGTTTAAATTTTCAAGATATTTCAATATTGGATGTTGAAACTAATGAGTATAAAAGAAAATATCTGGAAGTGATACTCATAAAATAGTTATTTATGATACAAGTGCGTAAAGTGAGTGATTATACGACTGATGCAAATCACACGGGTATAATCAGATTTACGCACGTGTATCATACAACATTTTTTGCAATACCCACCTCTAAAGTTAAGTACCTATTATGAAGAATTCCAACTCTCTATTAGAATAATTTCGATCAGGAAAAATATCATTAAGCAGAAGTGTATAAATTTAAAAGTAAAGTTCGTTTTTTAATTTTGTGGTTTTGTATGGTCTAAAACAATCCTTATATTATGTGAGAGAAATTTCGGTGCGTAAAGTAAATTTCAGTGCGTAAAGTTACACTTTACACACCGTTTGAAAAAGAGCTTCTTTACACACACTTTGCGGTGTGTAAAATTTAACTTTAGAGGTTAGTGTTACAAAAAATAAAATTTAAACTCAACAGTAAATTTTAATACTGATATTGCAGGTTTGAGTCAATTGTATACTTTATTAATTTCAAATTTTCGCCATTAATTTCAAATTTTTACTATTATTTTAAATCTCCACTATTAATTTAAAAAATTGTTACTATTAATTTTAAATTATTCATTTCAAATTTCAAAAACTTTTACTGTTAATTTTAAATTATTTCTATTTTTAATTTCAAATTAAATTCTTTTTACTTTAAATCTAGATCAATAGTCGAAGATCAACAATCGAACTTTAATAATCGATAATCGATTATTTCACATTTAAGGGTAGTATGACGTTTTGCCCAAGTTCTTTTTGTCCAAAGTTGGTTTTGTCCACTGTTATTAAACTTCAGAGTGCTCGACTTATGGCAACGTAAACAAAATATATAGAACGCCATGCGCTTTCGGAAAAATGGAAATGTCGGTAAATATAATAGTAAATGATGAAAGAGGTTGACCAAGAGATGGAGCAATTAGTGTTATTAGTGGTTATTGAAATGTTAAAACAAATAATTTTTGACCGAATGTAAACAAAGAAATTGCTGAATGGAAGACTGTGAGACAGTTTTATTGAATAAAGAAATTAAGGTAAGTAAAAACAATTTCCCTTTTAATAATTTGTATTGTAAATATTAGTATTGTTATTTTGAAAATTTGTAACAGTATTTTTAATCATTTTGTCTAACCTCAAATTAAAAATAGTAGAAATTTATTATTTTTAAGCGGAAAATTATTGGAAACTTTTAATCTATTTATTATTAACTTATTTAATGAATTTTATTTTGTGAATTAAATTTGTAATTTATTTCTTAATTATTTTTAATAATACACAGTGAATTAAAATAAGATACGACAAAAAAATATAACAATAGAATTTGTCTATTTTAAACTCATTCAAGGTTTTTTCTCAACTAATTAAGCGCTAATTATGTTGTAAAAATCTTGAAAGCACAATTTTTCTATGTAATTGTATTGTTTAATTCTTTTAAAACGTAATTT